TGTTTATTTGTGGGGTTTTTTTAATGGAGACCAAAAGCACTCCCCTTGCCCTGTCCCATGGGAGTCAAACAGAACAAAGAAGGACTAACAATAACTTATGTATTTGAACACATTGCCTGGAGCAATGGAATACTAAGTAGGCTAGCCTCTTGTCAAAACTCCAACATTAAATAAGTTTGTGCAAGTATCATATACATACTGGTATACATTATGTCATGTAAGAACCCCCTTAGATTATTAATACTGGTTTGTGTCAGTACAGTTACCAATATAGATGCTTTAGATATAAAGGCTATGGAGAATAATTTTATGAGAATTCCAGGGAAACGAAAGACTTCCCAGATTTCCATTTGTGGATCAGTATTGATAACTTTTAACCTTCTTCAGACAAATAGATATTTCCTGGTAGTCTGTCACTTTCTTTCTAGAAGTATGTTTTTTTAAGTCAGTTTCTCCTGGAAAGGAAGGGTGTTAGTAGAAGTTAATCACATTTATTTCCTCCTTCAAAGGATCCCTGATAACCAAACAGGATTTTCTAATGAGACCTAAGTACTTCTTTCCTGGATAGTTACTGCTGCTTGTTTGATTACATTTTTTAAAACCATTGTACAAAACGGTATAGACAAATTTAAGAAAGTGAGGACTAAAACCTTTAATGATTCAGTATTGTTCAGTTTTACTAAGAAATAAAAAAAATTGTACATTAACAGTAGCAGATTATCTGCAATACCCATTGTCTATATTTACAATGTAACACTGGGTGGTAGATTACTCTCTGCCATTTCAATTCCTCTCAATTGTAGGTTTATATTTGAAAGCCACTGACAAAAAGGAAAGGTTGCTAATGTACATATTGATTACAAATAAAGAGGTGTACCCAGTAAGAAATGTTTCTTTTTTCTTCAGGTGGATTTGCATATATTTAAGAGACTCTAAGCAGTTACCCTGCCATCAGTTATGGCCCAGAGGTTGAGTCGAGCAAGCAATGGCTAAAAACTAGTATACTGAAGGCTTTATTGGTCCTTGAAGCTTCAAGAATGAGTCCAGGTTTGGTAAAACACAGACAGTATTGCAAGTGGCTGCCTAGGAACTGCACAAAAGGGAAAGCTCGTGCAAAACAGTTCCCATGGTTAGTTATAATCTTAATTACTCCTATCAGTTCTGTGCCCACAAACAACTGGATAATAACTGGATAAAAACTGTAGAGTTATTGGATTTACGTGTCAGACTGTGGTACAGTCTGCTTAAAGTGGTTAGATTTGTGAAAATAATTAAAAATTTGAGCGAACAAAGACCCACTTTCATGAGATTCATAAGGTGCCCCAGGATGGCTGAGACTGGAATGCTAGAGGAACAAGATATGGAGCAGCAAGCACAATACACTGAAAGTCCAGAAGATAATGTAGTGTATCAGTTTTAGGAAACACTTTCTGTCACATGTTGCAATTGGTTGCACTAGGGAACAAAAGGAAGAGTCAGACACAAAGAACTGTCTGATACAAATACTATGGGATGGAAAGGTCTGACTCCACCCCAAGTCTTGATTAGACAAGTCTTAGAGAAGAGGCAGAACCCTTAGAGTCCAAATGGGTAGTCTGGAAAAATCGTGAAAACAAAATTCCCTGTGCCACACTGGGATCCTTAGTGTCTCCTCACCTTCATTTTGATCACAACTGGTGAAATAGAGCAGAGTGGAGGAAACAAGTACAATAGAGCTATTTTGACCAAAAAAAAAAAAAAAAAAAAAAAAAGGGAATGCAGCTGAGAGGGATTCCAGACCTCAATGTACTCTCAAACAGAAGTTGTGATAACTGTTTTTGCTCAAGTCAACAATCAGCAGGTCAAATACGTCCTATTTAGGACACTCAAACCTGTGATACTGCTATAATTGTCTGCAAGAGAGATGGAGTAGGTAAGCAAAGAAATCACAAAAACAACCTATATCATTGACTGTGACCTACAGCTATACTTTTATTGCTTCCCAGCAATGCAGGAGGAATCTGCTTTCCCCCTTCCTCATTTGTATTTTGTGTTCATGTGTTGTCTGAAGCTTGCTTTACATCCGGACCTTGAAAGAGCCCAAAAGTTCATGCAGTGCTTCAAAAAGTTAACAGGAAGATGCTGCTCCCTCCAAAGACCAAAGGCCAACTCTAAATAAACTTCATCCACACTGAGCTTTCAGTCTGGTGAATAGCATGTGATGACATACAGGAGGAACTGGAGTGCACCAGCGATACAGCAAAGGGAACTTTCCAGGCTCACACAGGAGGTGATGAGTACTTGCTCTATCAGAATGTGTACACGGTCTCATTTGAAAAGGAGCTAGTAATGCACTTCCTGTGTGAACTTCCAGTAATATCCCTATTTGCAAAAAAATTTAGAAATATTTAAAAAGTTTAGGTTCTAATTGAGAATAGCAAAACAAATCATGCTTTTGTTTGTGATGTATTTTACAATTTAATTTAGAGATGCTGTAAATGTGACAATGTAAACATTGTTTCACTAAGACCATCCTTAAAACTTTGCCTTTTAAAGAAACATATCAGCAAGTAACTTGAAACTGCATAATATTTAGTCAGTCAAATGTTTGCTGGCATTTTTAAATTATCCTTACATTTTAATATTTAAATGATGCTTGCAATAAAAAAAACACACAAGTTTTTTTTTATCCCTAATGTAAGCAAATTAGCTGAATTTGCTTGCAAAATGTATCATAAAGTTAAACATGATCAGTATTTGAACAGAGAAATTCCCAGAGACCTTCAATTGCTACAACACCCACCTCGCTACAGCCTCCATTCTACAACTACCTGAAAGGAGGTTGTAAAGAGATGGCTGTTGGTCTCTTTTTCCAAGTAACAAGTGATAAGACAAGAGAAAATGGCCTCAGGTTGCACCAGGGGAGGTTTAGATTCGATATTAGGAAAAATGTCTTCACCGAAAGGGTAGTCAGGCATTGGAACAGGCTGCCCAGGGAAGTGGTTGCCATCCTTTCCTTGGAGGTATTTAAAAGATGGGTAGATGTGGTGCTTAGGGACCTGGTTTAGTGGTGGACTTGGCAGTGACAGATTAACGGTTGGACTTGATGACCTTAAAGGTCTTTTCCAACCTAAATGATTCTATGATTCTATGATTCTAACAAATGATGAATGGGGGAATTAATAGGAGATATTTTCTTACTGTTTGTTGTTATGTTAAGGGACACTGGTTTTCAGTGCCATAGTAGGTGAACGATCCCTGTAAACCAGAAAAGATTTTAGGCTATAAAAAATTCTACATGCTCCTTTTAAACTACAGGTATGGACACTCAGAAGTGGAAGAGTTGGTTTTCATCAGCTTAACACCAACAACTGACTGCTTTCATGATCTCCACTTGTGATGTAAAATGGACTAGTGTTCTCTTGACTTAATTTTGCAAAAATCTCTAAAGATGTATTTACTAACTAATCACTAAATAATTAAAAGGTTCATTCTTTAAAAACAAATAATATTCTATGCTTGTATTTTCTGTTTTGTTCACCCAGTAAATTATTGGAGATTTATGTGGGAAAACAAATTTAGAGAAAGACAAAACTCCAGTTGAGAAAGCAAGCAAGCTGCTGTATTAAAAGAATTCCAATACTGTCTCATGAAGAAATTTGTTGCTGTATGCTGGATGGACAAGAGAAAAGTCAGGGGTTAATCACGCATTTTTTAAGGCAAACAGTAGTACATGGCAATTGTTGATGTTAAAGATGATCAGTCCTGACAAAAGCTGTGATATGAAGAGAAATGGCTGTATTTGGAAGAACTGGAAGAGGAAAAACAAACGGGGTTTAACAAGTATGCCACAGGGAAGGAATAGTGTCAAAAATTAAATGTAATTCCATGCTTGAAAAAACATTGCAGTTTAAAATGATGGATCAGAAATGAAGAATAAAAACGACCTAGGCTAAAGATTAACCTATTTTTGGAAGTTAAACTTAAGAACATAACTGAACATTCATGCATGCATGCATGCACAAAAATTCAGCCATAGGTACAGTTTTTATTACTACAGTATGAAAAAAACATTCTGAAATAAAGAAATAAAGATGTCAAAAACTGGATTTTGTTTGGGAAATGACATTTTGCCACCCTTAAGTATAGAAACTTCAGTGAAAAAAAGCTACACATTCATTTACCTGACAGATAAACAAATGTTGATAAAGGGCTTGCCATTACTTCCCCCCAAAACACCCAAACTTTTTTGTAGACATTGCAGGAAGCACTCAATCCAAGCATTGAATTGACCTGATGCAGCTTACTCTGAGAATTTTGACACCGGATTCTCATCCCACTCTGAGATGGTGCATCTGTAGAGTATGCTACAATGTTTTGCAAGACTTGAAGTACATATATGTATAATATAACTGGCATTTTTCATCTCAGGGATCTAATTAGTGTATTTTGCTATACTAATAACTAGAAAAATCTTGGCTTAGAAACAAATGTTTTTATTTTGAAATTTAAGTTGAAACTTTAACTTCCCTATCAGAAACATGTATTTGATAAAATACCATTTTTATCACAAAAATATAAAATATCCTCTGAATTCCTGTCTTAGGTATTGATTTGAATTTAAAATGATGGATCAAAAACGAAGAATATAAATGACCTAGGCCAAGGATAAAGCTATTTTTGGCAAATGTAGTCCTCTTTGTAGTTACAAAAATATATAAATATGTATTGAAAAAAAAAATAGAGGAGGACTAAGGCAGAAGCTGACCATTTTACATGTGTACATGTACTACATGAAACATGTATGGATGCTCTTGTTGGAGAAACTTATATGACACGCTTGTTTAACTTTTGTTCAGTTAATATGTTCTACAGATTAAGTATTAAGTCAATACATGTATAGTTTGAATATGAAGTTGTCTTAACACTTCTAGTCTACTTAAAGTAATCAGACAGCTGTATTAAAAACCTAGGTGCATTTGTTTTTTTTGTTGTTTGTTTGCTTGCTTTTTTTCCTGCAGCTTATTCAAACCATAAGTGCAGTAGACAAAGACGACCCTCTTGGTGGACAAAAATTTTTCTTCAGTTTAGCTGCTGTTAACCCTAACTTCACTGTTCAGGATAACGAAGGTAAAATTCATGCCTGTTCCAGGGAAGGAGTTTTATCTTTGCCGCCTGGCATACATTCCTGAAGTATATTTGCTTTTGATGTCTATCAATACGGAGAGAAGTCGTTGAAGTGGCTGCTAGCAAGAATAATAATTTTACCTGAATGTTTGTGGTTTAGGACTTCTGCATTTTCATCTGTGTAAGGGAGGCAAAAATTATCATGGCAAAAATGGGATAAAAAAATTAAAAAGAAAATCAGTAAAAGTGTTGGTTTGGGGTGAGTAGCCAGATTAAATGCTTGACTGAAGGAGGAAAAAAAAGGTTTAAAAAATGGCTTCAGCTGACAAGTTCAGATTTTTCACTTTAGCATTCTGTCATATAGTTCTGACTCCCCTGGTCTTCTGCTTTGCTTCTTTCTGACCACTAATGAAAATAATGGCTCTGAGCGCATAACCACTTTGGCTTTTCTTTTGATCCTTTGTTAATCTTTCTTTATCAGCGAAAATTTTCAGAAGATTCTCTTGGAGAAGGGGGACTATACAACCATTTTGGCCTTCATCATCTGTATGACTAACTGAGAGGGCTCTAGAGTACAGAACAAATAAATGCGGGGGAACATGGTACCAGCCTTCAAATGTGTTAAAATCATAACGGCAATCGGAATAATCCTCTTTTCCTGATGAAGATTTCAGGAAGTAATACACTGCAAACAACATGAAGAATTTTAGGTTAGATAAAGGAAAAAATTCTAACAGCAGGGAAAATGAAGAACTGAAATCAAATTGTTTGGGTACCTTATAAAATCGCTAGCAACAGAGGTATTTAAAGATCTGTCAGACAGTTTTTGATGATGAGTGAAAACAAATAGCATACAAATACCCAAAACCAATGAAGAGATGCAATAAAGGAAACCTTTGTGTTTCACATCATAGAGGCTATGAAAAAAATACATCTTTTAATATTTTAAGTAAAGATTATATCCTGGTGACTAGGTCCTGAATGTATAGAGGTATAGACCTTGTTATTTCTTTTCTGTCTGTAATTATTTTCTTTCTGTTTGCACATCTTCAGCCTGAAGTTGGCTGGCAAGATAGCTAACCACCTACCTCAAGAGATCCACAAGTATGATGAAAATTAATTTTCCCTCCTAATGGAGACTAAATCTGTATTTTCTCTCTTTTGGACTAAAAACTTAGCAGCTCTAGTGTTGGCTCCCACTCTAGTGTAGTGGCCCTAATAACAGAAGAAATAGTCTCTCCCTGTTATTCATGCCTTCCTTTCCTTCCCTTCCCTCTGGCCACTCAGTGAACAGCTTTTGATGCTGAAATATACTGTACAGAGCTAAGATTTGTCTGCTACAAATACAGTTTAGTAAATTCACGTCTCAAAACTGTGCAGGAATACCTACTGTCTTTCACATTTTCTGAGTTCCTAAGACAATTTTTCACCAGAAAATTTACTCCATGTGCTAAGGTACATAATTCATGGTTCTACAGTATGTTGAAAGTGTTTTGGTGTGGAAAATCTCATGCTGAGTTTACAGATAGCATTCCCATGGGTGTTGTCACAGAAGATCCATAGAAATAATCTTTCAAAACAGAGCGCTTGTTGAACAGCGTGAAGTGGAAGGTTATTTTTCTCAATTGGCCACTTTGTTTCAGGGCTTTAGCCCTGGACTGGAACTGTGTCATGCACTGCATGCATTAATCTATAAAACATTTTAAGCTTTGAGAAATCCTCTTTTCAAATAGCACTTGAAGGTGCTGCAGAGGCACAGAGGCATAGGCCAGATGTACAATAAAAAAATTTAAATAACTTTCTGATCAAATGGAAATG